TTTAAGGAAAAAAGATGATATGACTGGAAGGCCCGCTTCAATCCTTCAAATTCACCAACCTGGTCGGTGGAAAACTGGTCACCTGTACAAGAATAAAAAAAAAACCAAACTTGGACATTGAAATAGCCTTATAGATGAGGAAATGTAGCATCAAAAAGCCACAGATGGCGCTCCTTGTGGATGGACCAATCGACGACGACCAAGAACGGAGGAGGTGGGCTGAAGCCACGTCAACCCGAAGCGTTGCACATCGACGTTAGACTGATGATGCCATTTTGTTGTTGTGGTTGTAAAAACACAGTGCGAACAAGGACAACTTTATAGTGACACATCTTTGACCTCCACGCATCAAAAAATTGTGGAAAGGAAGATTTCCGTCCATCGGATTCGGTAGAAAGATACTTTGTGCCTTTACACATGATTTAAGAAGGTTCTACAATACAAGTCCCACCTCAATTAAACACAAGTCCCCTCAAAACCCCTTTTTTTCTGTTTTACCATTGCAGCTTCGTGACAATCTTGAAGTACTGAGGCGGAGAGATAAGTGGCTTCTGAGAGCTAACTTAGCATTTGAAGATTCGACAATCCAAAAGGTAGTGAAATGGTGAACGCAAGAATGAGAGACAACAAAATCTCAACTTTAATCGACATTCCCTTGCACCGAGGACCACTTGATCCATTCAGCAGAGGGAACCTCTCGCATTAACAGTTCAATTCGGTCCATCACTAGGGTGAAGAAAGCCCCAAAGGTTGCTTAATTACCGGCCTCCCTCGTTATAGAGGCGATGAATGAGAGTTATCGCGTATGGGATGTCGAGAAGCTACGCTCGACACCGCTGCAGCCTCCAGCTCTTCTGTAAATTTTAGGAGGGACTGGTGAGCTCCGCCTGCTGTCGTCGTAGGCCCAATTGAGCACAAAATTTAGTGTAAAAGCCATCTAGGTTGCAGTCCGTACCCGTTTCCCACCTACTTTCCATGTGTGCATCAGAGATCGTAGGAGTCTGAGGATTTACCTGACTCTGGAGGAGGAGGGAGGAGGAGGAGGAGGAGGCAAAGGCTCCATCCCCTTAGACAACCACCCAATCACTGACCACTTTTAACAGATTTTGAAAAATGTTACACTCTTATGGTAAACCAACTAATCCTGACCACTTCTAAAGAAGTTATCCTTTATGCTTGCGCGCTCAACTTGCATCGAAGGGGTACGAGCTTACATCAAACTCCCAGTACAGCCTTCTGAGAGATAAAAGGGATCTTTGAAGAGTTGAGTGCGGCTTGTGGGGTGACTCAGTCTTCATCACGCACCCAAATAAATGATCTGAAGAAGTACTTGGAAAGCGAGGAAAACAAATTAATAGCTTTTGGAGTTTACTCACTTCTGTTAATGTCGAGGTGACTCCCACGACCCGCCTCACCTTACTCAACGGGGTTGGAAATTACTAAAGCCCACCACGTAAGCATCATGGCGTGGTAATCGAGTCTCTGGAGCAAACAGCCTCGAATCACACGAGTGTGAGGGTGTAGAGCAGAAGAACAAATACACTTTTGACTGGAGACCTTTTACAGATTCTCTCAGCTTCCAACTAATGTAAGTACTGAGCTGCTCAAAAGCCCTTTTCATTACCTGCCACTACAAATTACAAAGCTTGCTTTGCAAAGGCAAAACTCTCCCATCGAGGCAAGACGAAAGGGTTCTATTACGAGGTAATAAGTGGTTACATTTTCCCGCTCACAGTTCAATGCGGTTTCCGACTTATCGAGTGCAAAGGACATGAGCATGACAATTCTCAAGGGAAAAAAATATTCCTTCCTAAAACCTCTATCCTACAGTGAGGGTTGTACAGGCTAACGCACACTTTGGCGCACTGTTATCCACAACTGGCTATTTTAGATTTGTGTAGATGGATTAACTTTGCTGGATTGCAATATCGTTCCAAGTATTTGCACAAAAGCAGCAAATTTTGGGTTTTAAAAAGATTCAGTCTACCGATGCTTCTGGTATGCAAAATGGTGACAAGTGCAAAAACTGACCCAAACGATCCATGAGACGAATACTATCCGGTTGAAGGAAGAGAGTATTATCGGGCAGAGAATCGTAGATTTTCTGGGCCTCCTCAATCGCTGGTAGTACGGGAGGTGGAGGCTTTGTGGAGGAGACATCTTCATTCTCTACCTTCTCCACTACAATCTCCTCTCCTTTCTGATGCTGTTGCTGGTGCTTCTGTTGGCAGCAGGCAGAATTGCAGAAAGTGGAGACACCAGGAACGTGATGACAGGACTGGAGACTGACCGAGGTCTGTGGTGAGGTTCGTTGAATAAAGGGGTTCAGAATGTGTGGCGGTGGTGGTGGCAGTGCCTCGACATTGATTGACACCAGTGAACTGCTCGGCTGAGATCGATCTGAATTAGCAACAAAATGGCACTTGGGAACCTTAAGTAATTTGAATAGTTTTCATGGACTCTCAAGCACCCTCCGAGTACTCTACTTTTTATGCATT